TAATATTTTTTATTTATTTATTTTATTAACTCTAGCCTTTCGGCTTCGGGGACTCTTGGGTATGTACATAGCATATATATGATACTTAAGTAAGTTTCGATATAAACAAATAAACTTTCTATTGCATTCTGATCCAACGACATCAGATATAGCTAAATAATGCTATTCTTATTCCTCTCTTTTCGCTTCCTCTCCTCTCTGCAACGTCCTTCTCCTCCAGTCGATTCCTCTTCCATCTTCCTGTAATATTTCCTTTACTGTTTTGGTCGTCTTGGTTTTGCTGCATCTGTATATCACGTGTTCTATCGTCTCTGTTTCTTCCTTACATAGTCTGGACTTTTTTTCCTTCCATCATTTCCCGGTCCTGTTTTCATTTCCGCATCTAAATCTTGCAATGGTTTTTGTATTTTTGTTCTGTAGATACTTTGGCAAGTGTAATGTTAATATTTCTGTGTACGTGGTATTGTAGGTGCTGTTTTCTATTCGATTGATTTGGTATTCTAATTGGTTGTCTTTGTCTCTCTCCTTCATAATCATTGGTATATTTACTCCTTCTCTCCTTAATCTTTCCGCCTCATCTTCTGCATACCCATTCCTTTGGAAATATTCTCTTCTTTCTTCTGCCCACTTTGCTTTTTTGGTCTTCTTTCTCTCCTTGAGAGAGCACCATGTCATCCGCGTATGTTAATGACCATATCGCTTGTCCTCCAATTTTTACTCCTCCTGCTTGCCATTTTCTTAATGCTTCTTCCAGGTCTGCCATATAATTGTTGAAAAGGGTTGCACTTAGCGGACATCCTCGCCTGAGTCCATTTTCCGTCCAAAAATAGTCTGTGTGTTTGTTATTGACTTTAACTTTACTCTTTGTTTCTCCTTTCTATTGTGTTGCTGTCGATATTTTTCTTTTCCAAGCTCTTGTATAATTCGTTCCTGTCTAGATTATCGAATGCTGCTTTTAGATTTATGAATAGGGCGTAGACTTTAGCTCCTTTCTATACCAGTTCTTGTTGTACTACTTGATATATTATGTATATGTTGTCTACGCTCCCCTTCCCTTCCTAAAGCTCATTCGTGTTTCATCCAGTATTTCTTTGTCCTCTACTTCTTCATTTAAGCGCTTGTTTAGTATTTTAGCGTAAAGTGTGTATGTTGAGTTTAGGAGTGCGATTCTCCTATAGTTTTTGATATCATTTTGTTTCCTTTTTTGTATATTGAGCATATTTCTCCTTCTTTCCAACTTTCCGGAAATCCTCCTCTCCTTTCCTGTTAATAATTTTTCTGATTTGCTGTTTCACGTTTTCCGGCGCATGCATTATCATCTCATTTGATATTTGGTCTGGTCCAGGAGCTTTCTTTTTTTTCATCTTTGCTATTTCTGCTTCCATTTCTTCTTCCCCTATTTGTTTATCATCCTTTTAACTTCTTGTTTGTGTTTTTTCCCCTCTGAAGCTTATCTGCCCGTTTAAACTTTGTATAAAGTAGTTTTCCCTTCTTCTTCTCCAATGTTGTCCGGTATTCCTTCTTTATTTTTCCTCCTTTTGCTTATAAGTTTCCACACTTCATCTTCGATTTTGATGCTTTGTATTTCTCTTATTTCCTCTTTTTGTAATTTTTCTTTTTTGCGTTTGCATGTATCTTTATATTCTTTCTTCTTTGTTCTGTACTCTTCGCCTGTGTCTTTTCCTGTTATCCAATCCATTAGCGCTTTTTTTGTAATTTGTTTTTCCTCTTTACATTCTGTGCTCCACCATTTGCTTCTTCCTAGTGACCAGTTGTTTATTTTTGTTGTTTTTTCTGTCACCGCTTTAGTTATTGCCTCTTTGATTTCTTCTAGTGCAGCATCACATTCAGTTTCTTTGAATTCTATCCGCTTTAGATCTTTTCTGTATTTTTCTATTGTTTGTTCTGTCCAGATTTGTCTCGTTTTTGTAATATCTTTTGTTTGTTTTCTGTATTGTGTGTCAGCACTGCCTTTAATCGTTGTGAATATTGGTTGGTGATCGGATTCTATTCTTTGGTCTACTTGAAAATTTTTTAAGTCTTCTTTCCCTTTTTCATTTAGAATAATAAGTCTATGCCTGCCCTCTGCTTCCTATGTATGTATATTCTCCCTCATCGTCTCCTTTCACGTTTCCGTTGAGGATGTGCCACCCTTTTTCTTCTACGAAGTTAATCAATTCTTTCCCTTTTTTATTTGTCACGTTATCTTTGCATTTTCTTTTGTTGTCTTCTTCTTCTTCTTCTTCTTCTGTATGACAGCAAAGCGGAAACGGATCTGCATACTTATGGCAGTAAGTGGACATTGGCGTAATGCTCGTGCAGGGGCAGTCAGGCGAAGAACATGGAGTGAGTGTCGAGAGTGGATTGTGTGGCGATAAGGGCTACTTTATTGAAAAGTGCTTAGTGTCACGTGTTGCTAGATGGTGGTTAACGATTCAGAAGTTTGACGTAGAGCTGGAATATCGTCCTGAATGGCGCTAGGAATCTAGGATGCAGCATATGGATGCCCTGAGCAGAAATTCGGCTGGCGGTGTACCCTCAGCGGGCATATTATAAACATTACTGTGGTGACGATGGAAGTTCCTAATTTTGCTAATTAAAGTGTTTAGTGGCCCTTTAGTGACAGAGAATAATTCACAGCTTAAAAACTATTACGTTAAATACGAACAGTAATGGAAATTACCCTGCGAAACCTTAAATACAATTGAATTACCAGACAAGAAATATTGGTTTATATACGGGAAATAAATAAGGCGCAATGAAACTATCGTTCAAGGTGAATGGAACTAGTAAATCGCAAGTCTGAAGAGGTCGATTGAGCACAAATAATCTTTGTATGACAATGACATCGGATTAACTACTTTTCAAGTGGATCTAGATTCTGGATTGTGATAGGAGGGTGGGCACACAACATTCCTAGTTCGTTTATGCTCGTTCGTTTGGATACCACGCCCCATATTTACTAAAACAATTAATTTTGGGTGAATGCCCAATTTAACGTTAAAGTCAATTTTGAGAGAAAAGGAGATGAAAAATTGTATGAGGTATGCCAACCGAAACAAGCATAAATAATTCATTACCTAAACGTTATTGAGACAAGCACTTTGATCCGGCTTAAGCTGTTTTTCTATAAGGGGATGAAAATCAAAATGATGCAACTACATTTCAGTGATTCGCGCAAGACTTTTAAAGTAAAGATGTCGTAGGTTTTTCATTTTGGTTGCGCTGCAACGAAAAGCTTTCAAAGTTGAAAATCGAATTAAGCACTCACAAATGGCGTAACTTCAAATGGAGTTTAAAAAACGTGGTTATTGAAAGGAACTACCCTACTTGTACAGTGAGAGCAAGTGAGAAGCAATTGTTTCAAAATCAATCTCATATTAGGTACGAATTCAAGTGAAAGGGTTTTCATTGTAATTTTCCCCACTTGCCGTTACAATAGACTTAATCTTTGTTATATGTTCCTTTATCGTCACATCATAAAATATTTGTTTAGACACGTCTTATTCCCGAATCAGTCTAAAAAAAACAATCATTGATCGAATAGATAAGGAAATGGCTAATCCAATAATCACTGTTAATTAACGCAAAAGGAGCACAAAACTATAGTGAAAGACAATGTTGAAAATATCAATGTTGACAGAAAAAGTTTAATTAGATACCCATTAATCTGATGAGCACAAAATTTTAAATTAGCACAAAATGAGCACAAAATTGTGAGATAGTTGGAACTAAATTCCTTTCAAGTCGACACTACAACTTCACGGGGTTGAAAATAATTCTAACACTGTTATTCACTGTCTACTTGTCAATCAGATCCCATCTCCGGACAAGATTTACACTAATATTTGCCTTTCAAATTCAGAAAACTTAACAGGTAGATAACATAAGTTTTACCAATGCCTTGAAAATGGAGCTCTCAATTGTGCGATTGTTTGAAGTAGAAAACACGTATACCTATTCAGAGCACGTTTGTTAATAAAGCGTTAACTAGACGTTTTCGTCCCTTGCTCGCCTATCGCAGACTTTACTATTTCCCGATACAAGAGCAAATAAATGAAAAAAACCGCTCGCTGAAAAGTGACCCGGCACTCTCCGCTTGCTAATCAAGCAATGTACACAATTTGATTTTCGCCCAAGGCGTAATTGGTTTCTCTCTCTTTTTCTTCAACATTTTAATCCAAGTTGATGAATTTCCGTCTCGTGTTTTTCACAATTCGTCGAAGTTTCATTAGTGAAGTTGGAAGTTCTATCAGGATTTTGCATTTAATTTCGAACGGAATCGAGAAACACCTTTTTTTATTGTCGTTGTACATTGTGCGCGATAAAATGCCCTTAGATGGTCCCAAGGCGTTAATTGATTTTGAAATGAGCATCGACACGCCCCGATTGAGCCGATAAACATGAGCCTGTAAAGTTTATAACGTTTGAAGTTGGTATTGATGCATGTAGTGCTCTTGTATACGAAGCCGGGGTGGCACTTTGAGGGTAATTACATACATTTCAGGCAGGTATTTATTGCGTTAAAGTGGTTTCATTTATTGACAAGTATGGATACGAGATCGCGGCAAATATTATTATGATAGGGTTCTGTTTCTCAGTTATCTGAAATAACTAAATCAATAGTGGCATGGATATTTTTTTAAATTTGATTTCTAGGTTAAAGCACAGATATACGTAAAGAACAGATTGCTAACCATAATGCATAAATTGCTTAACACATTTATCCACTTATTTTATAGCACCGATCTCCTTAAAAGAGCCCTCTATTTAGAAATGTTATTAACACAAACAGTTTAGTATTTGGTTCTTGAAGAAGTGGGAAACATTTTCTATGCGTTTATCGTTAGGTGTCACTGTAAAAGTAATGTTTTATTTTTTCCTGGAGAAGGAATGCACGAGATCGAAGTCGACTCGGTTGTGCTTATCTTATCTACGCCAATATTCGTTACGACGGATATATTATATTTCGGCGTCCGGTCCGAATATATCATTTTGTAACACACTGTAGTACGTGCTTTTCCTACTACCATGCACAAGGTTAAAAGATAAAGAAAAAACTCGCTCTCCCCCCTAAACGCCGCCTCGTACCCACTAGCAGTTGGTTGTTCATTGTGTTTTTTGTGCTCCATGCGTAAGGTTACGCTCTTCGCTTTGCTGTTGTTTTGCCGTACTTTTGTTAAAAGTAAGTTTCGGCTGATGTAAGTATACATTGACAGATCATTTGCAGCGCTTTTTTAGTTAAGGATGGGAAAATCGAAGAAACATAGGAGAAATAAAAGTCGATCGCCGCGGGATAATTTTTCACCGCGGGGCAGAAGCCGGTCGCCGAGCAACGATTCTCAGTATCCTGTAGATACGCGAGCGTTGCTTAAAAGGTTAGAAGTTTTGGAAAAAAGGACGCGGCGTTCTAGGTCCCGCAGCCCCAGCAGTTCTACCTGGCGGACTCGTAATCACAGGCGCCATACCCGCCGCGTCACGTTGTCGCGATCGCGGTCGCCATTACAACGGCTGCCTGTAGCAGCTGATGGCAGGGTACAGGACCGGGCTTGTAGCCCGTCGCCCTCTTTTACACGTCCGCGTAACGATTCTGAAATTGGAAATGAGGTTTTTTCGAGGCTTTCTGACACGTGTAGTGTTCGTAATGAGCCAAACGATACGCTAATTATTCATAACGATGAGACACTACCTGAAGAGGTCGTAAAAATCCTCGGGGACGACCCTGAGAATAGCAAAGAAAACAATCCGTTTTTACACGATTCGTTAGCTTCTCGTTGGCGACATATTTTAAGAAATTAAAAAAAGATGAAGCAACTGGTTTGTTGCTCAAATACCTGACCCCGGCAAATCTCACCGATTTGATACCTCCAAAAATGAACCCAGAGATTCCTGCAGTTCTCGACAGGTATAATCTTGCTCGGGATGGATCTCATGTCGAGGTTCAGAACCACCTGGGCAAGGGTTTGTGTGCCCTGGGTAAGGGCATTGACTTATTGTTAAATGGTGACACAACTGTGATAAAAAATGAGTTGCTCGAGTATCTGTGCGATACCGGCAGAATTTTGACAAATTTATTTCACCGCGAGTCTGTGACGAGGAGAAATTTGATTTACCCCTCTCTAAACAAGAAGGTCAAGGAACAGGTGGAGATTTGTCCACCGTCGTCGTTTCTCTTTGGAGATGACCTTGGGGAAAAAATAAAATTGGCGAAGAATTTGGAAAGCGTCACTAAAGATCTAAAGTTGGTTAAACCCACTATTTTACCTGCCACTCGCAATAAATCGTCGAAGTGGTGGGGGGGAGGGAGTAGCCAGCAACGGGCCCCCCTTCAGGTCCAGAATTTAAACTCTCAACGCCCGGTCCGTCGAGGGGGCGAGACGAGACCATACAAGGGACAGCCTTCGAAGGGAGCACGTTGGACAAAGAAGGGCCAGCAGAGCCATCCTTATCACAAACAACGGAGGGATTAATATCGGTGAGTAAGAAATTCGCTGGACGTCTTGCTCACTTTTACGAAAAGTGGACAGACCTAACAGCTAATCCAATTGTTTTGGATTGGTTACGGGGTTACAAGCTCCCGCTTACTTTTAAACCTGTTCAGTCACATCCGCCCTTGTTCTGTTCTTCAGGGACGACAAATAAGCACTTTTTGAAAGAAATTGCCCACCTATTGGATTTAGGCGCAATAGAGAGGTGTGACCTTCTACCGGACCAATTTATCTCCAAAATTTTCTTGGTTGATAAACCCAATGGTAAAAAACGGTTCATTCTCAACCTCAAAAAGTTAAATTCCTTTATATCTGCTCCCCATTTTAAAATGGAGGATGTTCGAACTGCAAGAAGATTAATCCAAAAGGGATTTTTTTTGCTACTCTAGACCTGAAAGAGGCATATTTTCTACTGCCGGTGCACAGGGATCATAGAAAATACCTCAGGTTTTCCTGGCAAGGGCAGCTTTTCGAATTTACTTGCTTGCCTTTTGGTCTAGCTTCTGCTCCATATGCTTTTACGAAGCTAATGAAGCCCGTCATTCAAAAGTTACGTAACAAGGGTATACTATGTGTAAGTTACCTCGATGATTTTTTGTTTTTGGGTAGATCTAAGGAAGAGTGTTCCCATAATATTTTAACGGCAATACAGTTGCTAGAATCTCTAGGTTTCTTGATCAACCTCGAAAAAAGCGTATTCGCACCTAACACGAATTGCAAATTTCTTGGATTCCTTTTGAATTCTATAAGAATGTCAGTAGAACTGCCACCAGAAAAGAGAGAAAGAATCAAATCTTGGATTATTTCTCTTCGAAAGCACCCAACTTGCACAATACGTAAGTTTTCTCAGTTCATTGGTATTCTTGTCTCGGCCTGCCCAGCCATAAAATACGGGTGGTTATACACGAAGGTTTTCGAACGTGCCAAATACCAGGCTTTAATTAAAAACTCTGGAAATTACAACTCAAAAATGAGCCTGAAGCCTCATCTGTTTTCAGACATGTCTTGGTGCCTTAATAATATTGACAAAGCGTACAATGACGTTAAGAGTGATACTTTTGATTTAACAATTTACACCGATGCCAGCCTGTCAGGCTGGGGAGCGGTTTGTGATGGTGAAAGTACACGCGGCTGGTGGACCGATGTAGAAAAGGACAATCATATAAATTTCCTAGAACTCAAGGCTATCTTTTATGGCCTGAAATGCTTTGCGAAAGATCTGAGGAATGTTAATGTCCTTATTCGAACGGATAACACTACGGCCCTAGCCTATGTAAACAGAATGGGTAGTGTTCAATTCCCCAGGTTAAATCAACTGGCAAGGGAAATTTGACAGTGGTGCGAGGCAAGTAATCTTTGGATTTTCGCCTCGTACATTTGCTCTAGCGATAATTCTGAAGCTGATCACGCATCGCGTTTGCTGCTACCTGAAACGGAATGGGCGCTGAACAGAACTGTTTACTTTCACATAGTCTCAGTCTTTGGGTAACCTGAAATAGATCTGTTTGCTTCACAAAGTAACCACCAGTGTAGTAGATACGTCTCTTGGTTTCGGGACCCGGGGGCAGAGGCAGTAGACGCCTTTACCTTAGATTGGTCGTCTCTTTTCTTCTATGCCTTCCCTCCCTTTTCGCTTGTACTTAGGGTACTTCAAAAGATAATACAGGACAAGGCAACAGGGATCCTCGTAGTCCCTTTTTGGCAAGCTCAGCCTTGGTACCCACTCCTTGTAAATTTGATTGTAGGCGAACCTATGTTTTTAAGACCTAGACATAATCTTTTGCTCTGTCCTTTCAGCGGACACCTCCACCCTTTATCAGGAAGCCTTACCCTGGTGGTCGCGAGGTTATCAGGGAGGCCTTCAAACGAAAAGGACTACCGGACAATGCCATAGAGACTATTTTCAGCTCCTTAGCTGTTTCCACAGTTAAGCAATACAACACAACACTTAAACTTTGGTGGGAATTCTGTGAGGAACAGAAAATTTCCCCATATGAAGGCGAAGTATTAAAGATAATATCCTTCTTACAAAACCTGCTGGAAACCACGGAAAATAGATATGGATCCTTCAACTCCCACAGAGCAGCTTTAACCTTAATCACCTCGGGGAACATTAGTTCAGATCCTAACCTCAAAAGGTTTTTGAAGGGGATATCTAGAATTAGACCACAAAGGCCTAGATATGAAGCTACATGGGACCCCCAACAGGTGCTAAAGTTTTTGGGAAGCACCCCTGATGGCAATCTAAAACAACTGTTGCAGAAACTGGTGACTTTGCTAGCCCTAGCAACAGGACAAAGGATCCAAACAATCTCGTTGATTAAGTGTAGCAACATCAAGTTTTTAGACTCTGGCGTAAAGATCCTAATTCCAGACCAAATAAAAACGTCAGCACCCGGAAGGAAACAACCCTGTTTGAATTTGCCCTTTTTTGAGGAAAATGCAAGACTGTGCGTATCCAGATTGATTAAGTCTTACTTAACCCTGACTGACCCTGTAAGACCCACGGGCTGCGACAACTTGTTTTTGACCTACAAGAAACCACATGGGCAAGCAAACAAACAGTCGCTGAGCCGTTGGGTAAAAGCGACACTTAAGGAAGCGGGAGTGGACATGACTCTGTTTTGTGCCCACTCCACTAGACATGCGTCCACATCTGCAGCCCTAAGGAATGGTATGTCCCTGGACACTATTAGGAAGTCAGCGGGCTGGACCGAACATTCATCGTCTTTCGCTCGTTTTTACAATCGACCACTGGCAGTCTCAGACGAGTTTATGAATGCCGTATTTAAACTTTAATTAGTTATTAAGTTTTCTGTCCAGTTTACCGTAGTGGTACCACCCTTTGGAGGAGTACACTTAAGAATTCTTTTTTCTTTTTATGGTGTTTGCGTACTACACTGTTGCGTTACATACAATATAGCTGTTTTTACGACGTATATATTCTTTAAACATCTACAGTGTGTTACAAAATGATATATTCGGACCGGGACGGCCGAAAATACTCATTAACCGATGACAAATGACTTACTGAAGTTCGATCGGAAATATACTCAGGCGGTCCGGTCGAATATATCATCTGCCTCCCCCTACGCCCAGCGTCGTTGAAAAACAGCGTCTGTTGAAAAATGAACGCAACCAACTGCTAGTGGGTACGAGGCGGCGTTTAGGGGGGGGCGAGTTTTTTCTTATCTTTTAACCGCTTGTGCATGGTAGGTAGGAACAGCACGGACTACAGTGTGTTAGCAAAATGATATATTCGGCACGCGGACGCCTCATATAATTCCGATCGAACTTCAGGTAAGTTCCTTTTTGATGCGTTAAAATATTTAACTATTTTAAATTCTTATTTTCTACAACTCAGTTTTGCTATTTTAGCATTTCGAGTATTTTAATAAGCTGTACAGCTTATCAAGGTACACTCTTTTTTTGTAAATTTAACATTTTTCGCTATGATGCTTACTTTTCGAGAAAAGTGGCAAATTAAAAATTATAAATAAATGTGTTAACTTTCAATTTAGAATTTCTCTCAAAAACTAGAACTCCAAAAAAAACTTGTAAATAAACTTTTTTGTGGGTTTTGTATGGGCCACATTTGTCAGTGTGGTGCAAAATGATTACACAAGAGTTTTTGTTATGGCCTTTTAAACTGTGCATGTGGTTGCGTTTCTTGTGAAACGATACAAAAACGCCTGAACCGATTTTTATGAATTTGGAAATGTTATAGGATTGTATAGGGAATGGCACACACTATTTTGGATTTCGGTCGCGTTACCATCTTCAACGGGTTTTTGAGGGTGTTAAAAGTTTAAAAGGGCCAAAACGGCTTAAAGAAAATGTTTGTAATTTTTTCGCATACACTGGCTAAGGTGGCACAAAAAACTCTACAAGAAAGTTCATAACAATTTATTTGGGAGTTTCTAAGATTTTGAGAAATTTTAAATTGAACTTTTAAACTCTTCATTTCATAATTTTTCTAAATTTGCACTTTTCTCAGAAAGTAAGCTTCATAGCGAAAAATGTTACAATAAAAAACGAAGTGCCTTGATGAGCTGTACAAAAAAGTCTTATCCATTTTTTGCGTCAGATTCAAAATAAATGCGACAGAAGTAAATATAGTCGGATGATAGGCAGTTTTATTAAAATTTGACATGTTTGAGCGCCCCTCCCAACATTAAGCCACGGGATCTCACTGGCAGACATGACTTCTTCTACTTCACTATGTATCAGGATACTTTACACGAAAAATCAGCCATGTAGCGATAAGTCACTTTTTTCGGTAGCCAGCTCTTAAGACTATACAGGCTTATGTTCCGATTTATGTTATTTATTTACCAAAAACATTGTTTAAATACTTTAAACAATACCATTGGCTAATACCCCTCAATATTAGTCAATCACAATACCCAAAACGAGCTTATAAAGTTTGCGTTTTTTAGAGAACGTTTGAACGAAATGATATAGAAATCAAAGACAATAAACGAAAAAATGAGCATTTAACCCGATAAAGTGTACATTCAAGAACCTGTACAATTTTTTTGGTAATTTTGGTTGAATGTACGAGGGTTTTTACAAAAGTTTTAAATTTTAATAAAACACATTAGATATTTGTGAATGGTTTTTTGATAACAAAGTCTATCTTAGGAGTCCTACAGGAGCTAAGTTTTGATTATTCAAAAATATACTATATGTTCGTTGAAACTGTAAAAATTAGCAATAAGTTATTCAGTCCCACAGATGCAACACCCCGAAAAGTAGTTTTATTTAGGGCCTGATTAATCTCGGATTGTCTGAACCGTTTCAATAATAAAACAAACCTATTAATTCCTGGAGGGATTTCTACAGGCTCTGGTGTCTTTCTAGGATCTACAATTTCTGACAAGAGGCAACTAAAATAAACCCCTAAAGCAGATCTAAGAAAGTGGCAGAGCATCTCGGGTGGCACTACGGCGTCATTGAATTTGACCCATTTCTGGTAGGCTTTTTACAACCTAATTGTTCCGCAAAAGATATTTTAACCACAGGTTCATGGGTAATTCCATAATCGGTAGATTTTGAAGATCAGGCATGTGAAACACCCGGCCCCATGTCGCTTGTGGCCCGCCGTTCTACAATCTGCGACCCGTCACGATGTTTGCAGATTGAAATATGTAATTGAATTGTACCGCGTGTTCTATTTTGGTTGAGAATGAGCTGTTTTTAAAAATAGTTCAGTTTGCGATTTTTCGCGACCCTGTGCCACTTTTTTGTGAAATCACAAACAAAATCAATCTAACTACGTTTGTTTCTGAGATACAAGGTGAAAAGTTGAAAACGAAAAGTTTGACTTTTTGCGAAGATATAGTATCTTACTATCCATGTAAGATAGAAAATAGGCAAAAACTGTTTATTTTAGATATTGTTACGTAGAATTCAGTGGCGTAGGCAAAAAAACTTTTGGACCACCGTTTCTGAAGGTCTGAGGCCCAAAGTTGTCATTTTTTATATGTGACACCCTGTAAATCTTAACGTCAATTGTTTGCAATCCCTTTCCTGATTACAGTTATGCATCACACTCACCACCGTATATATTTTTTTAGCAATGAAAATCAATTAAAGCCTTATTTTTACTGTTTTTAAATAGTATGCCATGAATTCATGGAGATTTTGTTTTGTTTATTGTATCCACGGTAACTAACTAAGGCACTCGATACCAATGAATAAAAATGGCTGACGAAATATGATAAAATATATCATTAAATAAAAAAATACCTATAGAATGATACATCGATGTAATCACTAAAAGAATGCAAAAAATGGACGTTAAAATATACAGGGTGTTGCATTGAAAAATTCCAAGTTTAGGTCGAATCACAGAAATTGTTTTTTACCTACGCCACTGGATTCTACGTAAAAATATCTAAAATACGCAGTTTTTATCTTTTTTCTATCTTACAGCGGTAGTAAGATATGATTCATCCCAAAATGTCAAACTTTTCGTTTTCACCCTGTAACTTAGAAACAAACGTAGTTGGATAGATTCTGTAGGACACTGTACGTGTACATTTTCTTGAGCTGGTACTAATGATTTTATGATTATTTCTATTTTTTCGTTTTATTGTATTATTATTTTGTATACTTTTTATGTTAATAATAAAAAATCAAAATTTTCTTAATGTAAACTTTTTTATGATGTGGCCCGCAGCTATCTGTGGAAACCTTAAAATGGCCCTTGGTGATAACATCATGATAACATTTTTATTTCCGCATTTATCTTTTCTAACTTTTGGACGAATAAGGCTTTTTGAGATTGATATCTATGTGTTTGCTATTTCAGCAGCTAATGGACCACATTCTTCAAGATCAAATCAAAGTTAAAAATTATACACCACATAATCTTCATGTGTAAATAAACTAAGTCTTTTAATAGTAAAGTTGAGTTTCTATTATTAGGGTAATAATATTACAAAGACAAACAGTTATCAGTACCGTAGTTTGAATATCGAATGTGCAGTTCAAATAAAAAATGCCTTATTAGGTATACCTGAAAAAATTTGGGAACCTTATTTTTTACACAATCCTTGTACATACAACTACGTCAACTGCTTTATCTACTTATTTGTTCACTTTAAAAAACAATAAGTTAAATAGCAAAGGAATAAAAATTGTAAGTATTTGCACTTGATTCGCGTACTCAACACCAAATAAATAGTTAAAAAGTACTTAGTTCAGAGAAATACTGCGTATCTGCACCACTGGCCTAAATAAATAAATAGTGATCTGCACACCTGTGCGTATCCAACGTGTCTGATGTACTTCATAATCCAAGGTTAGCTCATAATCCACCAACATAGAGGAGAAATCTGTAGATTATTGAAGATAGGTACCTACGGTGGGTTCGTTCATTCGTTGTACCCTG